AAAAAAAAAAAAAAAAAAAAAAAAAAGGTCGAAGAAGAAAAGAGAAAAAGCAAATGGGTATAATAAAAGGTCAACACGGAAGAAGCGATGAGAAACGGGCAACTTGTCGAATCGAAGAGTCGTTGACCGGTTAGAAACCCGTGGTGGTTCCGATTGCAACCAGTACAACCTATCGAGTCAAGTTAGCGATTGAGCAAAGTTAAACTGTGGCAAGGAGGGCTTACAATAATAGTAATGATGGTGATGCCCACGGGCACCATCCAACGGTTGAGGTTCCTCCACCACCGAGCATTGTCATGTCGACGTCGCTCAAGGTCGTACAATCTTGCCAGGAGTGTCACTTCGCTTGCGGGGGTCCCCTCGAGGTCGATGTCGGGCTTGGGAGGCAATGGCAGGAATGCAGCCACAATCCAGGCTGAAACTGGTTAGTATGCAGTCTGAAACGAGAATACTGTAAGGGGACTTACCAAGTGGGAAGATGAACCCAAAGCAAAACGCCCAGACTTGAAGATTCCTCCGTCCAAGGAGCGGTTCCATCCGCGAGTCCAACGAAGGTGCAACCCAGTTACTAGCCTGAGTTTCTAGCCTTTGCCGGTCCGCATACAAATGAGGTGACCAGCTGTGTCGCAACTGATAGAACATCCCCGTCGGCGGTCGCGATGTCGGTGGGGGAGCAACCCAATGACTGCGTGGATCCCGGGGATCCTCCGAGGCTGACCGCGGATTGCTCTCAATCGCACGGATACCAAGTCGGGTCATGGGTCGGCTGGCGTTCGACGGGTGAGCGCGATGGCCTCCAGAGGATTGTCTGGTGCTGACAAGCGACAGAGCGGAATTCACCGCATTCCCATCCCGGTAGTACACCTTGGCCCAGTTCGGAACCAGATTGGTAAGGAAGCTGGAGGTGGTTGCCCGACTCCGCATGCTACCGGTCCGTCGCGAATCGGCGGAGGGAGTGCTGACGTGGCCCGAACCCGCATTGCGAACTTGGAGATTGGTGACATTGCCGACGTTCTCATCCGAGTCACTGACCAGCCGCAGAGAAGTGTCGTGTTTGGACTGATGGACCACTGCGCTGGAAGGTCGAGCGGGTTCTGCTGTTGAGCGCCCGCTCGAGGGTTCGTCCGCGGCGCCTGCAAAGCTGTTGTCGCATTCAGCGGACCATTGCGAGGGTACAGTAGACAAATGGGAGGTGATGCGGCTTTCGGAGCGTTCGGGGATGGGTTCGTGGAGGGTGGAGGAATCGTAAGAGGTAGAGCGCGGCTCCTGGTGCGAGGTTTCGACCCAGGAGCTGGAGGAGGAAGGAGCACGGATGGTCGGGTACTGGACGTGAGCACCGTTGTCAACAACGGCTTGAATCTCAGAGTCGGGACCGCTCTGGGACGAGGAGGCCTGGGAGTGGGAGTGGCTGCGGACGGAGCGCGAGCGGTCGCGTTCGTGGGAGGAAGTCTGGGACTGGGCTGAACCGTGGATGGATTGATAAGGAGGAGTAGAGTGGAAGGAACGGGCGGCCCAGCTGGACTGTTCCGAAGGCGAACCATGGATCCAGGGGGTAGCCCCGATGTGCCGAATGACGGTACCCAAGGAATTGGCGGACGAGGAAATAGAATTGGAACGATGGGTGACGGATTCCGAGTTGGATGGGGTCCCGAGGCGCATGAAGTTGACGCTGGAGGTATCGGTGTAGGTGACAAAGTTGGGACTCGAGGGCGCGATGGAGGGCGGGCCGATGGGAACGATATTGGGACTGGAGCTGTCACTGGGGTGACGAGAGGACGCCAGAGAGGCGACGGTCTTGACAGTGCGAGCGGGCGGGAGGCTCACGTCGTCACCAGAAGAGATAGTTTTCTTGTCGTCCTCATAGAGCTTGAAGGTCTGGTCGTCATCGTCATCCTCGTTCCCCTGAGAGGGCGTCGGGTACGAAGAGTGGGTGGACTCGGGGTCGTGCAGCCAGCTCTGGGAATTGTGAATGAAATCAACCCAGGAGTCGCTACCAGAGGCTTCCAGGGTACTGCTTTCCGCTAGACCAGTGCTAGGCTCGCCGGAGAGAATGGACGAAACGCGGGAAGGGGTTGTCGAGGTCTGCGGCGGAAAAAGTTGTTGCCCCTTGCCGGGATTGGGGAGAAGCACGTGTTCCGGCTTGGTCGGGAAGGGGGAAGAAGCATAGATGGCCTCGTGGGGGTAACTGGAGTAGTCGTGGTGGAAAGGATAGTCGTTCTCGTGCTCGTCGCTGTTATGGGTGCTTTTGGAGCGAACATGGTGTAGGGAGGCGGGAGGAGAGGCGGAATTGGTATGCGAATGCGAGCGTTCATGAAGGGCTCTGCGAGGAGATGTGGTGGATTGATTCGAACGCATGATTAAAGCATATTATGGTGTTACTATATTGTCGAGGGTGCTTTTTGGAACCGAGGATAAACAATAATTATATCAGATGATAGGTAATATTAGGGGTAAAAAGGTACAGCTGCAGTTTTAAAAGAATGACAGGACACGACCAGAGTAAAAAGAATGACTGGATTAAAGCATAATAAAGAGTGACTTAACAGCAACAAAGAACGACGGCACTTGAAGAGAAAAAGAGAGAAAAAAGAGATGAAAAGAGAGGGCGAGGGCCGGCAGTAATAAAAGACACAATCAGAGATTGGCCCAACACAGGAACGAGAGCTGCAGAGACGCTATACCCTATTTAGGGGGCTGAAACACGCTTAAATACGCAATGACCAGCCGGGCATCAGTGACGAACTCTTCTATATAAGGACACCCCCTGATAAATCGCGTCTAGAATAGCGGAATAGGAGAATAGGAGAAGTATATAGTCGGGTATAGACAGAAGTATCGTTGCATTCGATCGCATGTCTTTGTACTAGCTAGACTATGTGCAAATACTTGTGTTTGCATAATGTAGATCGATGGATCTGCCAACTCACAGTGGAGTGACAGCAGCGGTGAGATTACTCGTCCAGCATAATTAAACCAATTGGAGATCCCAATCCATCCCGAGGCTGTGACCCCTGTACAGGTACAGAGTACTCTAATATATATCCCGAGTAAGGCGTGCTTGTGTCTATCTTTATCCAGCACTCGGGATGCGGAGCCGATGAACAGGGTGTAAACAATCACCACTGCCTGAGGTGTCAATGGTGTCCACTTAGTCATCACGTGTCATTGTCTGGTCTTGATATTGTCCTGTTGGTATATCTTCTCTTTCTTCTGTATATTTATTTTATTCTTCCATATATTTGGTCTCAACAATGGCGCCTGTCTCCCTTCTCGCCCGATTCAAAAGTCTCTACTCCGGACGCGGTATGTCACCCTCATCACTATCACGAGCGCTACTAACATGAACAGATGAACCCGTCCTGTCAGTCAACATGGCTGCTGTAGCTTCGGTATATGGCATGTCTAGTTAAACTTGGAAAATACTAACATGTAAGTAGATTCTTCTGACTCTCGCCTACGTCGTACCATTCTACGTCTCTTCCATCACTCGCCCATCGCCCAGTCTCAGTCGCGATGCTCCATCAGTCATCCGCGCGCGAATCCGCGCCGTCACTCTATCCACACTGGGTGGCTCCCTCGTGGTCCTCTGGATGATTCTAAGCAAAACCAATGCGCCTCTCGACCACGCTCTTCATCTCCTGGGCTGGTGGCCTATCGCCCCCAGCGACATCTTCCGCTCGTTACTTCTCACGGCCATTCTATTCCTAGGCCCCCTCTTTGAACGAGGAATCGCCGAAGGTGAATGGCGAGAATGGATCCACGGCGGTAGAATCTCCGAATCCCTCCGTGGCTGGATGGGTTGGAGAAACTACGTGGCCGGGCCTGTCACTGAGGAAATCATGTTCCGATCAATCATCATCACTCTGCATCTCCTCGCTAAAGTATCTTCCGGACGCATTGTCTTCATCGCACCTGTGTACTTTGGCATTGCACATGTCCACCACTTCTACGAGTTCCGTCTCACTCATCCCGACACTTCAATTCTGCTTGCTCTTCTCCGCTCTTTCGTTCAGTTCACCTATACGACTATCTTTGGCTGGTACGCCAATTTTCTCTACCTGCGCACTGGCTCACTGTTTCCTGTTATCCTCGCCCACAGCTTCTGCAACTGGTGCGGCTTGCCCCGATTCTGGGGACGCGTCGAAACTGGTGTCGCTCTGGCACCACCCGTCAAAGGTAAAGATGACGAGCGCGAGCGGAGTCCAATCTACGTGACTCCCGGAGAACTAGGAATTGGATGGACAGTAGCGTACTATGTGCTCCTTGTCGTCGGGGCTGTTGGATTCTGGTATGCTTTGTGGCCGTTGACGGAGTCGAGTCATGCTTTGGCGGGTTTTTGATGTCATCTTGGAGCTTGCTGTTTTGGGATGGGATACGAGTCATGTGTAAGATATACAGGTTTATCGAATAGTATTTTAGACTAGTCATGTCAGGTACCAATGTCATATACGGCATATAATACCCAGTCCATTCCGTAGTATAGCCCAATATAACGCAGTAAACCCACTATACGAGTCAATGGAGACAGGATTCTGCTCCTGCCCGCTTGACTACAATCATGTGTATTTGAGAGTGATATCTTACCGGTCCATATTTACCGCTGATCACCTCGGAGATCCTTGCACTCACCCATACAGCACTTCAATGCCACGTATAACGAGCACAGAAATACATATTAGACACGAAAGTCACCCTACCTCTAGGATTCAGAACACCCAATTCGAAACGACAACCATGGTAAAAGCTACAGTTATCCACGAGTTCAATTCTCACTTCACCAACACGCAACCCCAAAATCAGGAGCCAGTATGCGTCTTCGCCGGCGCAACAAGCGGCATCGGCGCCGCCACCCTCACATCCATAACTTCAATTCTGCGTAACCCAACCCTCTACATTCTGGGCCGATCAGTGTCACGCTTCGCAATTCAGCAAGAAAAACTACATTCCCTGAATCTAGACGCCAAAATCGTGTTTCTCGAAGTCGATGTTTCATTGCTATCAGATGTTGACAAAGCTTATGAACGGATTCAGAGAGATGAGTGGAAGGTGGATTATCTATATATGAGCGCGGGGTTGGTGCCGCTGAACGGAGCGGAGTGTATGTCAACCGCCATGGAATGGGCTGCGAATGCTAACGGTTGCAGATACAAAAGAAGGTCTGGAGATCTGCTTCGCGCTGCCATACTACACCCGCATCCGCCTAATCTCAAATCTTCTCCCGCTTCTCTCAATCACAGAATCCGCGCGTCCTAAGCGTTCTCAACGGCGGGAACGAAAAACCCCTAATAGAAAACGACCTCGCCCTCGAAATTAACAATGGTAAAAACTGGTCCCCGCTAACTGTTCTTGCTTTCGAGTACCTGGCAAACAACCATAAAGAGATGACATTCATACACGCTTTCCCGGGCTGGGTACAGACGGATATCTTTTCCCGCTTAACACCTCCAGAATCTTCGGGGGTGTTTTGGAGAATGGCCCTCGCGACTATCCGCAATGTTGTGAAAGTGATTAGGAATATTTTTGGTGTTTTTGCGGAAGAGAGCGGGGAGAGGCAGGCTTATCATCTTACATGCGGTGGTTTTGGGCCGGGGTATGTGTGGCGGATTGATAATAAGAGCGAGGTGATTAGGAGGGATCGTTTTTTGGGAAGGTATTGGGAGGGTGCATGGGCTGAGAGAGTTTGGGAATTTACGGCAAGGGTGTTTGAGAAGGTTATTCGATAATTCTTGGCTCTAGAAGTACATAACAGTCTGATGATACTGGGCCAATGAAATCCATTTCGAGCACGAGCTCTCGCATTTCTTTGGTAATGTATAACTCCAATCGGTCGAACTGCGTAGCTTATCGGCTCTAGTTCAGGGACGCGCATCATGAAAGCTTTTTGGCCGAACACATTCGCCTGGTAGATCGCAGAAAAACATTTCTTCTGACAAAGACCTCTGTCGTGTTTAAATGTGCCTGATACGTGGGGTTGAACCTGGGTATTCCTGCTTGTAAGAACCCATCGGGTATTCTAATCCCATAAACCCCTTTTTGTATGTTGATATCATTTGATGGCTCATTGGTGATTGCTTGCACAGAATTCCCATATGACCTTCTGTCGTATTGCTCATGAGAAACTTGTGGAACTCGCGTGGATGAGTCTCAATGCGCCGCCTAGCAAGTGTATTTGTGGCCAAGCGCTGCCAAAAGATTCGACAGTTTATTACATCGAATGCATCTCTCTGATATCATATGGCCTTTTTATAATTGTCCCGTATTTGCGCTTTCTGGTCTGCTGAAATGGTCCCCACGGTTATATGGACGTATAACTCGAGAATACTGGAGCACAGAGGATATACCTGTCGTCTTCGTCGGTTGAAACAGCCTTGTATACGGCAAGCCCACTGATTATAGAACGATCTTGGGTGATTATATGTTGTGTGGTTGAACGAGAGTCGAATATGTCTTTATCGTGACTTGTATATAAAACAGTTGTGGCAGTGCTGTTGACTACATGAGCGAGTTCGATACGTCATGACTGTCGGGCTTCCAATTTCAGTCAGCACTTCAATGTAAAGCAAGGGAGCCATAGAGACTCATTATTACCTGTAAATGAACTGGATCACGCAAGCATTTTATAACGTGGTCTTCCTTGGTAATGGTATAGAGGCCTCTAATGTCAACTCGCTGCTCATGGCCTGCAAATAGGCTGCCTTTGCCTTTGGACAAGTATGGTCAACTGAGATTAATCAGATAAAAATTGTATGTTGATGTGGGTACATATATAAGGACCGACAGAACTCAGTAGAGAGTATGGAGAAAGATGACGGGGCCGAAGAAAATGCGAACAACAAATACACGCGATGCCATACTGGCTTAATGATCTGTAGCCGCGGATGATAGACTACATTAATGCGCCCTTGGTTTGTGGAAACTACAAGAACAAAGGGCTATTAACAATTCTCCACCAACAGAATAAGACATACACAAAGATCTAGTTGAATCATATCAATGATTCAACAAAACTGATCAAGTAGTGGGCCTATGGCGCAACGGTAGCGCGTGTGACTCCAGATCACAAGGTTATCTGTTCGAATCAGGTTGGGCTCATTCGTTTTTTTTAGGTAGTTTTTTATTTGATACAAATATTCGATCTTAAATTGAATTCGAAATTCTTATTGATTCTTTTTGTCTTCTCGAAGTAACAATGCAGATCAATGGCAAGAAGACGACGAATAATAATAAATCGAGTGTCACGGAGTGGGAGCGGGAGCGGGAGCTAGCGGTATGATGTGTTTGGCTATCCGTACTTTGGCCTGTTTGGATATAGGGCATAGACGCCTTCACACACGCTAGATAGTTCAGCGCAGGCAGGCCCAGCTTCTTTCTTTCTCTCCTCATGTTAGCATTTCATCAGATAGTCTACCAATGGAAGGGAAAGAAAAAAGAAAGAAAGAAAAAAGAAAGAAAGAAAAAAAAATTATGAGCCCAACCTGATTCGAACAGATAACCTTGTGATCTGGAGTCACACGCGCTACCGTTGCGCCATAGGCCCATGACTTGTTAAAGTTTTGTTATGTTAATTATATGAGGGAGTTTTTACGACATTCACCTTTTTCAAAGGAAAATATAGCCGATCAATAATGGTTTGAAAATTAATTATAGTTTTCATGCTTAGAAATCTATAGTTTGCTCGAGATTATTTGGGAAACTATTTGGTTTCATCGATTCCTGGTTCTGGGTCTAGGCTGCTACCCCTTGAAATGTCGGGACTCACGAGAGGATCTACATCTAGTAGGCTCCAGGCTCCGGTTTGAGTGACAATATCAGTTAGATGCAAGAGACGGAAACGTGGCTATGGTGAACGTCTGCCTGCATATGCTGTGCTGATCTTCTATTATATTTAGGTGCACCGCCGCGGGGTTCAAATATATATTCCGGATGTAGAGCACAATACCCCATCCAAATCCAGGGGCACCAGCGCAATGACACAAGAAGACTGGTAGATCATTTGGTCCGCTGCACCCAAAGACCAGCGCGTAGAATGGAGGTTCCTTCTTGATGAAGGAGCACCCACTGACGCCTCACTAGAGCACATACTCTGCCGCGCCATCGTGAGCAAAGACTACGATCTAGTTCAAACCTGTCTCTCCCACAACGCCCAGCTCAATGACTGGGTCTACGGCGCCGTCGTCTGCAGGTTAACTATTGACCTAATGCGCATCTTTATCCCAGCCGGCCTGGATGTAAACTACCAGAATGATCGAACTGGTGGATATGTTGCGATGACTGCGTCCAGCGGAAGTCTTGAATTCACACGATTCCTACTCGAGCATGGCGCGGACCTGAACATAAACCTGCTAGCTGATTTTTATCCAGCGCTCTGTGTTGCCGTGGGCAATGACAACATCGAAATGGCTGAGTTGTTGATCCAATACGGGGCACGGGTGAATGGGCTAGGTGCGTTGGGGGCAGCGGCGAAACGGAAGCGGTATGCAATGATGGAATTTCAGTTCAGACATGGCGCGGATGTAAATGATGATGCGAAGGAGTGTGATGATGTTGTTATAGGTTGGCTACCGGGGACGACGGCGTTGCATGAGGCTGCTGCAGTGGGAGATGTTGATGTCCTGGAGTATCTAATCCAGCGGGGAGCCGATCTGGGTTTGAAGGATTATTATGAGCGGACGCCTGCTATGGTGGCCCGCGAGGAGGGTCATCAGGAGGCAGCAAACTTCTTGAACAACATGCCGTAGAATAGAGCTGTAGCCTGTAGGAGTATACGGAGTAATACTCCGAAGGTGAATGGATCTCGGACTCGGCCTCGGAAATTGCGGAGTTTAGCTGACATTTATGATTTATCTCTCCGGATTTTCAACTCAAGAAAATCACTGTCTGCGCAACAATGAAACTACGACTACAACCGCTTTGGCGGTCGCCTTTTGGCACTCTCAGACCTCACTCACAAATACGCTTTGCCAGCCGCCTGCGCGCCCGTCTCGATATCCCCCCTCCATTCCCCGTCACCAAATCATGTCCCGAACCCAGTTGCGATTGCCCGCCAACGCCTGCGATGCCAGAGGGGCTTCCGGTTGATTATGAACAACCGTTGAATGGAACCATGGCTGCATATGCGCAGCAGTTGTTAATCTGTACCGGGCAGCGGGATTGGACGAGTCGCATTGAGGATGATGGGAAGGAGGAGGGTTGGGGGGATCTTGCAAGAGGATTGAAGAAGTTACTTGGGCGTGGTGGTCCTTATGCTGACGTATGTGTTGACCGAGGTATAGCATGGATGTTGCTGACCGAGATTGAAGCCGTTCAATAATATCCTCGTTTCGAACTCCTCACTGTCCGCGTCCTCGTCCTCCTCGTCCGCTTCGGCCTTTCTCTTCCCCAGCTTTAAATACTTTCCCTCGATCCCCGTCGCCGATCAAGATGCAACGGATTCGAATCTGTCAAGCTTCGTCCAAGCCTTCCTCCTCCCCGAAAAACTACACCCCATGCAAGAAGCCTCCCTCCCCGAGTCCAAACGAGACCAACTAGTCCGTGTCCCAAACTTAGCATCCCAATTCCCCGGCGCAATCGACATCCACCAATCCCCCGTAATCCTCATCTGCGGCCACGGCGGTCGCGACATGCGCTGCGGAGTTATGGCACCAGTCCTTGAAACCGAATTCGACCGTGTTCTCTCCGCGCGCGGGTTTTCTACTTCCATTAGTGATAACAAGACAATCGACAACCCGGAGCACGCCCATATCGGACTGATCAGCCATATCGGGGGACACAAGTATGCTGGGAATGTGATTATCTATGTTCCACCGGGGATGAAGATGCGCGATAGTGCTCCCAACCCGCTGGCCGGGAAGGGTATTTGGTATGGACGTGTTGAACCAAGGAATGTAGAGGGGATTGTCGAGGAGACTGTTTTTGGGGGGAAGGTGGTTACGGATCATTTTCGGGGTGGGATTGGGAGAGATGGGGGGATTTTACGGTTGTAGAAGAGGTCCTGTATATGAAGAATTACCGATGACATAGGTACTAGAGGTATCTAGGACAATTGATGTAAATGTACAGAGTATTGCTGTGTTTTGTAGATGCAAACTGAATCTATGATGTAGACGCTAATCCTAATCGGGACGGAAGTTCTCCGCGTCAACAATTTGACGGCGGTTTTCTTCCTTGCAGAACCTTGATCAATGGCTCGATCTCGACATTCAGTTATGAGACAATGAAGTGATATCCAGTCAACATGCTCTCCCTTTTACGACTACGACAAAACCCAACCTGCGCCCTCGCACAGGGCCGCAGACTCACCACCACCATCTCCCCGAAACCCTTCATCCGACTCGCAACAACCTCGACCTCCTCACTCCCCCGAAAACTAGACCTTCTCGCCCTCGATCGAAAATGGCAAGAAAAATGGCAGCGACAACAGCAACAACTACCTCCTCAAACCGGTGACAACGAGGGCAAACCGAAATCCTACATCCTCTCCATGTTCCCCTACCCCTCCGGAACCCTGCACATGGGCCACCTCCGCGTCTACACGATCTCCGACGTCCTAGCACGCTTCTACCGCATGCGCGGACACGATGTCCTCCATCCAATGGGCTGGGATGCATTCGGGTTACCGGCAGAAAATGCAGCAATAGAGAGGGGCGTTGATCCGGCAGAGTGGACAAAGGACAATATCGAAAGGATGAAGGAGCAGTTGAGGAGTATTTCGACGACTTTTGATTGGGATCGTGTATGTATGTCTTTATCTCGCCTGTCGGGGCTTGGGTTGGATTGGGTGAGGGCTAATAATGGTGGGTGTGGGTAGGAATTGGCGACTTGTGCGCCGGAGTTTTATGAGCATACGCAGCGGATTTTCCTGATGTTGTATCAGAAGGGGTTGGCGTATCAGGCTGAGGCATTGGTTAATTATGATCCGGTTGATAAGACTGTTTTGGCGAATGAGCAGGTGAGTCATTCTAGATATATAAGTTACGGACAGGGCTGATTGGCAGGTCGATGCAAATGGTTTCTCATGGCGGTCCGGCGCAAAAGTCGAGCAGCTCAAATTGAAACAATGGTTCTTCCGCATTACTGCGTTCAAAGAAGCTTTGTTGAAAGATCTGGATTCGTTGTCTGGTGGCTGGCCCGAACGAGTCTTGTCCATGCAGCGCAACTGGCTTGGGAAATCGGATGGTGCTAAGGTCAAATTCCCGGTTACTGTCAACGATGTCCAATCAGGTGTTAATGTGTTTACCACCCGGCCCGATACGTTGTATGGTGTCGAATACTTGGCTCTCTCGCTGAACCATCCTATCGTTCAGCAGGCGGCTGAGACGGATGAAGGACTACGCAAGTTCTTGGATGAAGCGGCGTCGCTGCCGTCTGATTCCAAGGCTGGTTACAAGCTACATAACGTCTGGGCATCGCACCCGCTGCATATCATCGACAAGGAGAGTGAACATATCGCCCGGAAACTTCCAGTTTTCGTGGCTCCGTATGTCCTCGGTGATTACGGCGAGGGTGCTGTTATGGGTGTTCCGGGGCACGACTCTAGAGACCTAGCCTTCTTCAAGGAGAACGTGAACCCGGAGTTCATTCCACAAGTTATTGGCGCGGAGGCGCAAGCCGCGCCGGCGGACACGGGCGTCCTCCCCGCCGCGGACGCCAAGGCTTTCACGCACGAAGGCTACTTGACTTCCCGCTGCTGGAAATATCAGGGCCTGCATTCGCAGGAAGCAAAGAAGCAAATCGTCACCGATCTCAACGCCGTCGGGCACGGCGAAGTAGTCGAGCAATGGCGGCTGCGCGACTGGTTGATCAGTCGACAGCGCTACTGGGGTGCTCCGATCCCCATCATCCACTGCGATAGTTGCGGTGCGGTGCCGGTGCCAGATGACCAGCTACCGGTGCAACTGCCCAAGCTCGAAGGCGACTGGCTCAAGGGGAAGAAGGGTAATCCGCTCGAGTCGTCAGAGGAATGGAAGCGCACTGAATGCCCTAGTTGCGGACAGCCTGCGACCCGCGACACTGACACGATGGACACATTTGTCGACTCGTCGTGGTACTATCTGCGGTTTTTGGATGCGGCGAATAAGGAGCAGCCGTTTTCGCCGGCATCTGTTAGACCGGTAGACGTCTACATTGGCGGTGTTGAACATGCCATCCTGCATCTTTTGTATGCCCGTTTCATCTACAAATTCCTTGCACAGTCTGAGTTGTTCCCTGAGATCGCACGGAATAGTGATATGCTGAAAGCGCCGCCGGAGCCGTTCCAGACGCTTTTGTCTCAGGGAATGGTTCACGGAAAGACATATTCGGACCCGTCGACTGGTCGATTCCTGCACCCGTCCGAAGTGGATTTTAGCGGTGGTCCTGACAAGCCTGTTATCAAGGACACCCAAGCCACGCCCCAGGTATCGTTCGAAAAAATGTCCAAGAGCAAGCACAATGGTGTAGATCCCACTGCATGTGCACACCGGTATGGAGCCGATGCGACACGTGCGCATGTGTTATTCGCAGCGCCGGTGAGCGAGGTTCTTGAGTGGGATGAGGCGAAGATCGTGGGTATCGAGCGGTGGTTCGGTCGGGTGTGGAAGCTGGTGCTGGATGTGCGGGAGCAATTGAATAAATCGGAGTACCGGGTTTCCGAGGCGGGACTGCGTGCCGACCACGCGATACAGTTGCCGTTGCTGCCGTCGCTGAGTGATGCTGATGCGGATGCCGTGCTCGCCACGCATCGGGCCATCACTTCAGTCACACAGTGCGTTGAGCGCAACCCGTACGGACTGAACACAGTGATTTCGGATCTGATCAAATTAACCAATTCGCTGTCCTCCTCTTCGAATCTCTCCCCTCTGACCCTGTACCTTTGCGCCTCCTCCCTACTCCGTCTCCTGGCACCAATTGTGCCAGCCTTGTCCTCGGAGGGATGGGAAGTTCTTCATGAAGCAGTCCTCGAGCGTCAACCCGAGACACCCGCCCCAGCCATCTTCGCTGCGCCCTGGCCGACACCTCTCCTCACCGCGGAACAAGCAGACACCCTGTCCGCGCGCGGGGGCCAAACCGTCGCTGTCCAGGTAAACGGCAAGATGCGCTTCACGGCAACCATTCCGCGACGACTGTCACCCACGACGGAGAAGCCGGATGTGCAGGAGGAGCAGGATTGGGTGGTGAGTCGAATTCTGGAGACGGATGAGGGACGGGTATGGTTGCGAGAACGGAATGACTGGGAGAAGCGGAGACGGGTGGTGGTGGTGAAGGGGGGGAAGTTGGTCAATGTGGTTTTTTGATTGCAGTACCGTGTATATTAGTTGGAGGTGTTCTTCGTATAGAATGATTGTGCGTCGTTTCGTGTCAGTCTGGATGAGGGGAACTGTCAGTGTCAGACCGTGCCGTGCCACCGTGGATCTCCCCTCATACTCGGGGATGTCGGAGAATCGGGAATAGACAGGGTTCCCCGTGAAGCAAGCGTAGGATACAGTGTACAAAAATGGAAAAACTACGATAGACAGAGGTGCCTGAACATTAGCTAGGAATAAATTGCCTGTTCAGTCGGACGAGTAACCATTCGTACCCCTCTTACGGAACTCTGTATACTACTGCAGCTGTACTCTGAGTGGTGAGGGGCCCCCTCATTAGATAAGCCAACCCCTCATGCGGGGCAGCACGCCACGGAGAAATTACTCTAGCAGTAACAAGCATCTGTCGACCTTTCACTGACTCGAAGTGGTCTGTTTTCTAACTACCGAGCCGACGATGGAAATCTCCCGGTACATTAGGTTAACTATGTTAGTAGTAGCTAAGTCCGCGGACTTTGTACCTCCAAGTAACTCCAACTATGCCATGGTGTCCCTCCGTCCGGGGCCAGTGAACATACGTAATGGGGTAATGTAGAAGACCCCACATGAATAAGAGTTGATCATGTGTTTTGTTTGTATGTATGCTGAGAGACGGCGGAAGTTAATACACAATTGCTGAGAGGGAAATAAACCGAGAAAGGGAATAAAATGAGAATACCCTGTACTTCATACAATTGATGTTATATTCTATTCTATGTGTAGAGTAAAGAAACAGGATAATTATTCCCATTAGGTAGGGCTCTTCGGTATTGATGACGATGCGGAGTCCGTCAGTTCATCCGGATCTCCAGCACTACTCTTAGCACAAGTTCACGTACTCCGAGTACTATGGATACTACTTGACACTAACTAGTTAGTACTACTACCGTGGATGCAGGAAAGAAAAAAGAATTAACGTGATCCACGCCTATAAATGCCACTTCCTCTTCCCGAGAATTTTAACTCTCATCTTCATCACTTTCTCTCTCACATTAACTCCAATTGTCTCGCCGTTCGCATTCGGTAAGTTCCCTAAATTTCTTCTTTGGATGACGTTTTTCCTTTCTCCCGCATACATCATCTCTTCTCCTCTCTTCTCTTACTTTTTTCTCTCTTGCGTACTCGCCTGCGCTCTCCCCGCGTCTCCAACTCACCTCTCACTGCGACGCTCACTTCACACTCAAGTTAAATACCTGCTAACGCCCTCTCCTCCAGCTATCTTCCATCCCCATTCCCTCTAATTCAATTTAACCACACTCAATCAACACAATGGTATTTACTCGCTCTCTTTCCCGTCAACTTGGACGGTCCTCTACTCTCTTCTCCGCCGCAGGGTCCTCAAGACCTGCCTTCCGCCCTACTCCGTTGGCGGGGGCTTTCTCCGGTGCACGTACGCTAACTGCTTCTGCGAGCCGACAGGGTAAAATTCTCATGGTTCTCTATGATGTATGCTCTTCCTTTTCCCCCGTCTATCTACTTGAATATAATCTAACTCCTACATAGGGCGGTCAACACGCCAAGGACCAGCCCGGCCTTCTCGGTACCACTGAGAACGAGCTTGGTCTGCGCAAGTGGCTCGAGTCTGAGGGCCACACCCTCATCACCACCTCCGACAAGGATGGTGAGAACTCGACCTTTGACAAGGAGCTTGTTGATGCTGAAGTCATCATCACCACTCCGTATGTTCCATGTTCCGCGCTGGAAGTATAGAGGATTGGTGCTAATCTGAACAGCTTCCACCCCGGTTACCTGACCGCTGAGCGTCTGGCCAAGGCTAAGAACCTCAAGATTGCCGTCACTGCCGGTGTTGGCTCTGACCATGTCGACCTCAACGCTGCCAACAAGACCAACGGCGGTGTCACCGTCGCTGAGGTCACCGGCTGCAACGTCGTCTCCGTTGCTGAACACGTTGTCATGACCATCCTCACCCTGGTCCGCAACTTCGTCCCTGCCCACGAGCAGATCCGCAACGGTGAGTGGGACGTTGCTGCCGTCGCCAAGAACGAGTTCGACCTCGAGGGCAAGACCGTTGGTACCGTTGCCGTTGGCCGTATCGGTGAGCGTGTCCTCCGCCGTCTGAAGCCCTTCGACTGCAAGGAGCTCCTCTACTACGACTACCAGCCTCTGGCCCCCGAGGTCGAGAAGGAGATTGGCTGCCGCCGTGTCGAGAACCTCGAGGAGATGCTTGCTCAGTGTGACATTGTCACCATCAACTGCCCCTTGCACGAAAAGACCCGTGGTCTCTTCAACAAGGACCTCATCTCCAAGATGAAGAAGGGTAAGTACCCCATACCCCCCCACGTGTAACATACGCATGCTGACCAGTCAGGTTCTTGGCTCGTCAATACCGCTCGTGGTGCCATCGTCGTCAAGGAGGATGTCGCCGAGGCCATCAAGTCTGGTCACTTGAGAGGCTACGGTGGTGACGTCTGGTTCCCTCAGCCCGCTCCCAAGGACCACCCGCTCCGTTACGTCCAGGGCCCCTGGGGCGGTGGCAACGCCATGGTTCCTCACATGTCCGGTACCTCAATCGACGCCCAGATCCGGTACGCCCAGGGTACCAAGGAGATCTTGGACAGCTACTTCTCTGGCCGCTTCGACTACAAGAACCAGGACCTCATCGTCCACGCTGGTGACTACGTCACCAAGGCTTACGGCCAGCGCAAGTAAGCTTAGGTTGAAGCGAAAGGGGGTAAAAATTTGCATAGACAGGAGGATTTTATATATACCGGTGTTTTATGAGGCAATGACTGAACTAATCGGCCATTACTCTGGTAGGATGGCCTAGGATGATACCTGAATATATTTTCTTATTTACTTTACACTTTATTTATACTTCACTTTATAGTTTCTTATATGCAGTAGTGCAGTATGCAGCTTGCCACCGTCAATAAACCTCCGTAGCTTGCCAGTGTACAAACTTCCGAATATGCATAAGTGATGCAGGGATAAAATGCCAAACGCCGTAGCTATATTATACAGTATTCACAGCCCATAAAAGAAAGAAAATCAACGACGCCCTCTATCCTCCTCCTCATCACTATCATCCATAAACCCCTCCTCTAAATCCCGACTCAACCTTGCTTCGGACTCCGGCCTACTATTCCACCTCCTCTCCAACTCCCTCCTCCTCGCCGGATCCATATGCATCCCGACCATAATCTCCCCTTCCGCATCATCAATGCTGACATTATCGTGATGATCCCCACCAGGCCCGGCCACGCTATTCCTCCGCCATGGGAACGAGGACGACGAGCGAAGGATGCAGCGCATGAGGGTGTTGCCGATGCGGTCGCGGACGGAGGAGGTGTGCGCGGAGATGGTGTGTAGGGGGAGGTAGTGGGCGTAACGTTGGTGATAGTGCCGGAAGAAGGGGAGGATGAGGTAGGAGAGGAGGACGTAGAGGGTTAGGGAGATTGTGGCGGGAATTAAGAGTGTCTGTTCAGTGTTAGTGTTATTGTAGTACAGTGGAATTGCTTGGATGGATACCTTTGCGATTGAGGACATCTTGTGAGTACGGAGGCCCTGGGGGCGGGTACTCCCAGCGCCAGTCTTCTTGTACAGAGCACTGTGTACTTGTAGGTAATTCTGCAGCTGCAGATTCAACAACCGCTCTTCATGCTAACAATGCACAATTCAATTATCTCTGGTCAAGATGTGCTGCGATTGCGACTCCTTAGTCACGTGACCTACATCAAGCCAGCCAATAACAAACAGTTCTCGCCCCGCAGATGACTCAGCACCCCGACTTAGACGCCGTCTCCCACTCCCCCTAAACGCCGCCCGTGCATCCAGCCCTGACGTGCCGAAAAGGGACGGTTTCAACCTGTTCTCTTCCTAAAAAAGAAACGATTCAAAGCGCCGCGTGAAGAAAGAAGAAGATTCGCATGATCCGCTTGGGCTCTGTGTTTGGTTCGTCGTGAGCCGGACCAGTGCGAGTTGCAGCGCTACCACTACTTATCCATACCCTGGGCTGATCGTCCCTGTCGTCTTTCCCCGTCCCCTTTGTGGGAGTACATACATTCTCAATACAACAGTACATACAAAGATAAGGACGGTGTTTCTGGAGAAAAGAGGGATTGGTTTGATTTGATTCTTACACACTCCCCCTTTCCCTTTGCTTGTCCTCCTTTCGCGCTCTTTTCGCTATCGTTTCGCTCTCTTTCTTTCTACCGTTGCTCCGCAACAAGCTAAGACAGGATTCAGCTTCTTGAAAAGGTTGAATTAAAAGTCGAAGTGTCCGTCGTTAATCTACTTGATCCAATCCCGCTACTTTACGAATCTAAAGGGTAGAATTAGAGCTCATGCTTTTCCCGCGGTCCCCCAGCGACGCTCGTCAAGATGCCATCTTCCACGTCCGCACCTGATAAATCAAGACAAACCTCGGCGGGAAAATCGTTCTTTGGGAGGAAATTGCACAAAGAGAAGCCGGTAGAGATTCGCCATGAAAGCAGCAGCACAAGCAGTCTTGGCGATCTGGAGAATCTCGCGCCGCCAGGAAGTGCCGCCGGTTCTCGCTCGTCGCGGCATTCGAATAAACGCACTTCCGTCCAATCTATCGATAATAACCCCTACGATCTCGATTCTGGCAGTATCGCGCCCTCGGCTGGTGTGATTACGTCCATTCCTTTTGAAAGCACCCCTTCCGATACCCGTAACCCGATTCCCGTGGATTATCTGTCCAATGCGTCGTCGCGGAGAGAACCGTCGCCTCACCATTTAGCAAAAGGTGGTGGGGATTTCCATCAGTATCCGGTGTTTAATCCGTCCGCGGCTCAAGCACCGAATTACTACTCCCATCCAACCGGTCCTCGTCCGCCGCCGCATGCTTCGAATATGACTATGAGTGGGAGTTCAACAGGTGACAGGGGCCCGCGGTATCAGCAGTGGGGGAGACCGGGCAGTTCGGCCACAAATGCGCCATTCAGTCATAATTCCTCTTCGACTTTCGATTCCTCTCAGAACTCCCGCCTCTCGCTCGATCAGATGAGTCTCCATTCGTCCGTTTCGTCAAATACACGAGGCTCAAACTATTTCTCCGCCGACGGTTCAAACCGCACGATTACGACTGCACACTCCGATCGAAATAACCTCACACCCAGTGGAAGTTCCAGCCGATTATCGACCGTATCGACTGCGACTACCGGGCCCCCGCCGATCGTCCCAGAACAATACCTTGCTCGACCCCGAGATGACCGTATAGTGGATCAACTATTCTTGGAGTTGATGCAGAAGCGAGGTTGGCAAAATCTTCCGGAACAGGCGAAACGGCAGATGTTGGCATACCCGGCTTCGAAAAAATGGACTCTTGTACACCAGGATCGTTTAACGGAGTTACAAGGCGAACAGAAGCGGAGGCAGAATGCCCGGCAGACTCATGGTCATGATGGGCCTGTGGGGATTCTCGAACGAGCTGATGAGGAGGGAAGCCCGGAGTGGTATGTCAAGAAGGTTATGGATGATACGATTACGTCCAAGCAACTTGCCAGTTTGAGTGTCAGTTTGCGAACACAGCCAATTAGGTACGTTTCTTTGCATCTAATTTTTGCCATTCGATACGGTGCTAACAATTCCACAGCTGGGTTAGGGCATTTGTTGAAGCACAAGGTCAAATCGCATTGACAAATGTGCTCATCAAAATTAACCGGAGAAAGGCTTCTGGGCCTGTTCCCGCACCTCCGACTGGTGATAAGGATTTGGACCGCGAATATGACATTGTCAAATGTCTGAAGGCGCTGATGAACAACAAGTATGGTGCCGACGATGCTCTCGCACACCAGCAAGTCATCGTTGCGCTCGTCACTTCCCTGCTGTCGCCCCGGCTGAACACAAGGAAACTAGTCAGCGAAGTCCTGACCTTCCTTTGCCATTGGGGTGAGGGCGAGGGCCACCTGAAGGTCCTCCAGGCCATGGACCATGTCAAGAATTACCAGGGCGAAACGGGCCGCTTTGATGCCTGGATGCGGATCGTCGAGGTTACGACAGACGGCCGTGGTAAGATGGGCAGTTTGGTCGGTGCCAGCGAGGAGTATCGGAGTGGAGGTATTGGAATGGAGAACTTGCTCATGGAATATGCCGTTTCGACCATGATCCTCATCAACATGATGGTGGATGCACCGGAGAATGACCTGCAGCTCCGATGTCACATTCGGGCCCAGTTCATCTCATGTGGTATCAAGCGTCTGTTGACGAAGATGGAGGGCTTCCAGTATGAGGTGATCGACAAGCAGATTGAACGGTTCAGGGAGAATGAAGCCATCGACTACGAAGATCTCCTCCAGCGGGAGGGCAGCAGCGTCAAGGACAGCATCGAGGGCGAGGTCAAGGACATGTCCGATCCGATGCAGATTACCGATGCCATCGCCTCTAGGATCAACGGCAGTCGCGCACACGACTATTTCCTTTCGGCCATGCAGCATATGCTGCTGATCCGCGAGAACTCCGGCGAGGATGGCCTGCGGATGTTCCAGCTCGTGGATGCGATGATGAGCTACGTCGCTATGGACCGGCGGTTGCCCGATCTGGATTTCCGGCAAGGGTTAACGTTTACCGTGCAGAGTCTCTTGGATCGGCTTCACACAGATGCAGAGGCTAGGCAGGTGTACGATGAATCGCTGGAAGCCCGGCAGATTGCCGAAGCGGCGATTGCGGAGCGCGATGAGATGAAGGCGCAAGTGGAACTTGGCGCCGACGGTCTCGTCATGAAGCTGCAGAAGCAGATCGATGAGCAGACGGGCATCATCGAGCTGCAGGCTAGGCAAAACGAAGCTATCAAGGCGGAGGTTGCCGATGTGCAGCGACTGCGTGCTCAAGAGTTGCAGCGCAATGAACTCGAGACCCGTGAGCTGTATCTCATGCTCCGTGACGCCCAGGACATCGCCGCGTCGAATGCGAAGAAGAGTAACGTCGCGGAAACGGACCCGTCCCAGATGAGAGGTATCATGGACCGTGATCAGTTGCTGGGGAGGTTGGAGAGACAGCTGGAGCGCACCAAGACCCAATTCAAGTTGGAAGGTAGGGTTTGGGGCCAGCATGGACCGTCTGATCGTCTGCGTGAGTTACGTGAGCAGATGGATGGAGAGGCCGAACCTAGTGACGATTTCGAGGAGCAAGCTCGTCTGAATTTGGATAACAACGCTTTGGGATCTGTGCACCGCAAGAGAAGCCATGCTGGCTTGGCCAACGAAGCGGACGAGAAAGGACAGCCGATCTATGTCCCGCGGCCCCGGATGGACCCTTCGCAGGCGACTGGTCTGCTTGGAGAGATCGCTTCCAAGGTTCCCAAGATCGATGCCGATGTCCCTGGAGCGGTGGACGAGGAGGCTACTCCCAAGCCACCTACAGGACCCGAAGACGAAGTCGCTGCCGAGGAAGCCAAGACCGGTCTCGAGGGCGCAACACCAGACAAGGCCGGAGCTGCTGTTCCTCCTCCCCCTCCTCCTCCTCCTCCTCCTCCTCCACCACCACCTCCGGGAATGGCTGGGATGCCTCCGCCGCCTCCGCCTCCGCCGCCGCCGCCGCCGCCAGGTGGTGCGGTTGGTATACCTCCCCCTCCTCCTCCACCTCCACCACCGCCGCCGGGTGGTGCAGGTATTCCTCCCCCGCCTCCGCCTCCCCCTCCTCCGGGCATGGCTGGGATGCCTCCGCCGCCTCCGCCCCCGCCGCCGCCAGGTATGGCTGGCGCAATGCCTCCACCACCTCCACCACCGCCTGGTATGAAGTTTGGAGCGCCCCCGCCACCTCCGCCGCCTGGTGCTGGGGTTGGAGGCTGGAGAGCCAATTACATGGCTTCTCAGGGTGTGCCTGGCGCTAAGACGGGTATGATGCCATCGATCCGGCCTAAGAAGAAGCTTAAGGCTCTGCACTGGGACAAGGTGGATGCTCCGCAGGTCACGGTGTGGGCATCGCATGCTCCGACACCGGAGGACCGAGAGGAGAAGTATTCGGAGCTTGCCAAGAAGGGTGTGTTGGATGAAGTTGAGCGGCTGTTCATGGCGAAGGAGACCAAGATCTTCGGACGCAGTAACGCGGCCAAACAGCGCAAGGACAAGAAGCAGATTATCTCCAACGAGTTGTCCAAGACGTTCCAGATCGCAATGGCCAAGTATTCTCAGTATCCGCCTGAGGAGATCGTGCGGATGATTATTCATTGTGATGCGGAGATTCTGGATAACATGGTCGTCATGGAGTTCCTGCAAAGGGACGAGATGTGCACGATTCCCGAGAACATCTCTAAGCTGATGGCGCCGTATAGCAAGGACTGGACGGGTCCTGATGCCGCCAGTTCCGATCGGGAGCAGGATCCTAGCGAACTTACAAAGGAGGATCAGATCTACCTGGCTACTGCTTTCGAGTTGCATCATTACTGGAAGGCTAGGATGCGTGCGCTTGCTCTGACACGGTCGTTTGAGCCGGACTACGAGCACATTTCGGCCAAGCTTCAGGATGTGGTTAAGGTTAGCGAGTCGTTGCGCGACTCGGTGGCCTTGATGAACGTCCTCGGATTG